TACAGCCATATCACGTTGAAACAACGTTACCCGTACGACCAACAAAGTTAAGCAACGATATGGTTGGTCAGTACCTTGATGGGTGACCGCTTGGGAATACCAGGTGATGTAAGCTTGGATGTGCGGGTGGTGTAATGGATAATGGCTCGTAATTATTAACTGGAGAATCGAGATTTAAGTTCCGTTGGGTTCGTCATATTCACTTACGTGCAAATGTCTTTGGCAATGCTATGAATACACATCTTCTGCCTGCCCCGACTTAATTCGTAAGACTTGTATCCCTAAACCATTATTATCTAAAAAAAAAAAAAATTCTTAGACTCTAAAAATATTTTCTGGCTTTAAATAACCTGCAAAGGGTGGATAAACCGTAAAAAAAGGAATCATTCGATCAATTTGTAGAACCACCTCTCTGTCGTCTTAACTCTCTTCTTCATCCGTTATGGAGATTGTCCAGCATTCACAGCCATCTTGAAGAACCGAATGGATATTTTCCTGTATCTTTCTACGCCAACCGTATTAGGAACTTAGGATTATCCTTTATTTAATGGAAGTCTCCAAGTACAGATCATAGAAACACTTTCTTTTAAAAAAAAACTTTAAAACCCAATATAGATCAACTGAGCATTATTTTTAGTCAAGAATCCTAGATTCGACAAAAAAAAAAAAAAAAAATCAAAGAATTAGTTCCCTAGCGATCTTTTCGATTACGAAACACAATGATTGTATTCTTGATAAATGATTTTCTTTTCTGTGCTTCATCTGAACAGGGCTTTTTTTTAATATTCCGTTTCACAAAATTTGACATGTTTTTCCGAACCTGCCAGTATTTGCCCGCTCGACAGGTTTGGGCATTTAGTAAAAATCCAACAAGCCTTTGGACATGCCGATCTTTCTAGAGCGGCCTACTCAGGATTAGGGACAGAGAAACTTGAAAAGAAAGTTGACTGTAAACAAATGTCACGCAGATTAAAGCAGTTCGCACTTTGTTGAATTAATTAAGAGATATTCGGTTTTGTTTGATTAACCGTTTTATTTGCAGGTTCGAGTTTGTTCAAATATGTCGCATCGCTGTACTTCCAGTTTTCAACAACTTTCCTACTGACCCCCCCCAAAAAACAACAAAAAAAAAAAACAAACAAACAAAAAAATCACGACATCATACGAGAGAATTTTACTCTTCAGAATCTTACTTACATATTTACAAGTCTACCATTCATCCAGGCTTTGAATATTGCTATCACATGTGGTCTGGTGCTCCTGCTTTATCCTTGATAAAATCCAAATAATCAGCAATATTATTGGTCCTGACCGGGCATCTCGGCTTCAGTCACTTTCCTACTGTCGTAATATAGCTTCCCTATGTTTTTTTTATAAATATTTTATAGTAAATGTTCTGATAAACTCTACTCTATGGCACATCGACGTTATGAATTTAAATGCATTACTAGATTGGCTGCAGTATATCATCATTTTATAGTCGAAATGTCTAGATGTAACCGTAAGTTCTATGCTAACATTTCCTTCAGTATCTGTCTATATTTCTGAGATGAGGTATTATATGCACTATTTACAATATTCAGACTATTGTCCTCATCTTTGTCGCCATATTTATTACAACGTTTCGGCCGTTGTACGCTCCGGCCTTCGTCAGGTGGTTGGAATGTGTAATGAACTGAATCCAAGTTTTATTTCAGGTTTGCTCACTGGGGGTAGATTGCCAGATGAAACGTGGCACTAGCGTTAGATTCAATAGAGAGAACTTGGAAAATTTGATATCCATTAAACTCACAGGACATAGAAAATTTGTAAAGACATGTTACATTTAGTCCAAATAATAAATGAAAGGGAAGCTTTCCAAAAAAATTTTAAAAAAATCGTTAGTCACGCTCCGTATTGTTTTGTTATATTCTTTATAACGTAACTGCTTTGCGTGTTGTTATTGTTGAGTTGTTTTTGGTTTGGTGAAACACCTTCTTCGATTGCCGAAATCCTAGCGTAAGATTCAATAGAGAGCTTGGAAAATTTGACACTCACAGGACATAGAAAATTTGTAAAGACATGTTACATTTTGTGAAAGGGAAGAAAAAAATCTAGTCTTTTACAACGCTGCTGTTATTGTTGAGTTGTTTGGTTTGGTTTGGCTTGTTTAACGGAATATCAACCCCTTATGGGTTATTTAATGCCGAAATTTAATTTTCTTGGGACCTTTGGTAATTTTTTTTTTACTATTAAAATCTATTGCTGGTAATTTTTACTATAAAATGTATTTTTATAATTTTATAGTGTTTTGACTCAGTGTTTAGAGGTTCACTGTTTGCCCATAGCTGGGACCCTAATAGGTGCTACCACCCCGGGTCAGGGTGGCTCTCGTAACAACAGCAGTTAAGAGTTGATTTCATGTTCCTCAAAATCTCCCGATCAGAGGCCTTGCTGCCGGATGTAGTTTATCGTCATACACAGGACGATTGTTGAGTTGTAATAAATCATCAAAATATATCAAACGTGGAATTTTCTAGAAAAGAAGGAAGAAAATTGCATAACCAGGGACCAAGGCTAATGGAGCGTGTGAACAAAGTATCAAAAAATTAGACTAAACATTTCTTGCCCCATAATAAAAAAAAATAAACAAAACAAAGTGTCAGCTTATCAATTATAAAAAAAATACAATAAAAAAGTAAAAAAACAAAACAAAACAAACAAACAAAAAACAAAAACAAACAAACAAACAAACAACAACAACAACAACAAAAAACCCCAAAAAACAAAAAAAAAAACGATGCTTAATGTTTTTGTTTTCATTAAGAAAAAAAAAAATTACTTTTGTGATCCGGGGTTAATTTTCTTCTCGCCATTCTGCCCTTCATATTCAGTTGTTCAGGACTGAACATGAAATATTGTAAAGACTTGTAAAGGAAAATATTTAAAGAGAATTACTTTTACTTTCAGAATAATCGATTTCAGTCTTACCTGAAACGAAATGAACGAAATACTAATTAAAAATTGATAATCGTTGACAATGCTTCAATTAGTAAATATCGAAATTATATTACTACTACTATTATTACAAGTGTAAATAAATTAAATAGCTTTTTTATTCTTTACCAATTAAACTTAAATAACATAAACAAAAAAAAAACTTTAACTATCAAGGGAAGTAACTGTGTATATCTAAAATTGAATTATTCCCCTTGTTTAAAAAAATTTGTACAATCTATAAAATCTGCAGGACAGTCTACCCTTTGATAGACATGTTCTACTTTATGTGGCCGTGTTTACTTAGGATGTAGGTGATCATGGCTCTCCAAAATTCCCTGGTCTTTGCAGCTCTTTAGAAATTTGTTTTTTTTTTTCGTTATTTATCCTAAACCCTGTTTCACCATCCATTTACTTAAACTTTTCATGTATGTTATGAGGTGTTTTCCTAAGTCCCTCTTGCTCAGGGGCAGAGGAGGAGGGCTCTAGACGGTCGACAACTACCCACCATCAGTAAAATTTCAGAGAATTTGAATGAGGTGCACAATGAGTGAGGACACAGTTAACGCGCTTGTTTTTCGTATGTTCACGAAGTCAGACTATGATAAAATCGTGAACCTCTATGCAGATAAGAATCCAGAAAAATTGACTTTAATAAATCCTCTTTCATAAAAGCTATATAATCACACTTTGAATCTAAAAGATTGTATTTACGATTTTACATATCAATTAAATAAAGAAACACACACAAACACACACACATACACAAAATATATATATATATATATATATATATATATATATATATATATAATAAAGAAGTTAATATTTAGAGGTACAATTATGAGTCGTCTTTTAAGCTAGAAAGCCTTAGAAATTCTACTAAACTAACCAACCATGTGTGGAAATTAAAGGAGAACAATAAAAAAAAATATCAGATTGTAAACTGGAAAATTAAAAAAAATCTAACCCTTATAACAATGATAGTAACATCTGTAACCTTTGTCAACAAAAGAAATTAGCTATAATAACATTTCCATACCAAAAAACTTTTAAACCAGAGATCGGAAACTATGTGCCGTTGTATTCATACTAAAAAATTCCTTTTGGATTTATTTGAAGTTGGATAAAAAGAACGTATGTATATTTTATTTAATCCCCCACTGATATATTACCAATTCACTTGATTTTCCCCTCCTCCTTATCCTCCTCCTCACCTTCTACCACACCTCTCGTCGTGTGCTTACTATTTTTTTTTTAACTATAGCGTTCATAAATTTTCATTTTTTAAAAAATAAACGTTAGGAAATCAATTGACCGAAATCAACCGAAGATAAGAAACAAAAAATTACAAAGCAGAAGTAGTAGATACAGATGACCAGAAAAAATATACATAGGGCGTACTGGTGGTAACTTTAAAAAAGGTGGTACAATTATAAGTCATCTTTTAAGCTAGAAAGCTTTAGAAATTCCACTAAACTAACCAAACATATGTGGGAATTAAAGGAGGAAAATAAAAAAAAGATCCGATTGTAAATTGGAATTTTTTTAATAAAAGCAAAACATCTGAAACAAGAGTAATTAGCTATAATAACATTTCCAGACCCCCCCCAAAAAAAAAAAAAAAAAAACAACAAAAAAAAAAAAACAAAAAAAAAAACAACTTTTAAACCAGAGATCAGAAATTATGTCCCGTTGTATACATACTAAAAGTCTCTTTAGAGGTCATTTGAAGTTGGATAAAAAGAACGTATGTATATTTCATTTAACCTTCCCCCACCGATACATTGTCAATACACATGATCTTCCACTACGCCTCATCCTCACCTTCTACCACACACGTCGTGCGCTTATACATTGACTTATTTTTTAAAAAATATAACGTTCATAATTTTTTTTTAAAATAAAGCGTTAGGAAATTGATGTAATGAATATGCATACGCCTGGATTCCCTCTCACAGTAATATAAATGGCTGGTCTCAGCCATAAATACAGACCGATGTGGAGGTACAGGGACTACGCCTATTGCCTACGCCTATTGCCTACCACTACGACAAGGACCAGTCCATTAGAGTTACTTGCTAGATTGTCCTACCTGGTTACAGTAGTCAACAACCACTTTGCTACTTCGAACAAA